GTTCGAATCCACCAGCGGCTCTGTGGGAGAAAGACAGCTGCTGCAAACTTGCTGGAAGGCCAGCTGTGAGTCAGTTCCAGCTCCTCAGCAGTGCATGCAGGCGTGCTATCTGACTCTAAGTCAGAGCTCCCTTCCGTATAGTAGGGTCTCGGGCCACCTGCTTCTCAGCTGACATCAGGGATGGGACCACCCTCACATGACATGGCCCATCTTCCCCTGAAGCCCTCTTCTATTTAAGCACACAATCCTAAATGCACCAGAATCTCTCTTCCTTCGAAGACTCTGGCCCAGGCATCGCCTTGCACCACTTTCCCCGCCCCTCTCTAACCTCTCAGCCACAGAAATCCCACCACCATGCACTGAGGGGGCCTGTTTGACCCTGAGCCCAGCTCCTCAGGGGTTACTGCTCAGCCAGGGACAAGCCGGTCTAAATTCCTTCCCCAAACGCAGTGATTCTTATCAGTGACATTTGGCTCCCAACCCACCACCCCAAAGCAATAAAATTTCTTTTACTTTTTCTTTCCTCAAACCTGATTTTTTTCTCAGGATTTATTTCAATTTCTAAAAATGCTGGCCTTTTTTTTTTTAAATGTCATACAAAGACACAAAATATTAGAAATAATTCAACAAAAATACCTGCACTCTGAAAACGACAGAACACTGCTGAGAGAATCAAAGAAGCCCTAAATAGAGAGATGTGCCCTATTTATGAATCAGAAGCCTCGATCTTGCTGGAATATCTATTCTCCACACATTGGTTTCTAGACTCAAGGCAAGAACTGTTAAACTCTCAGCTGGCTTTTATGTAGCTATTGGCAAGTTGATACTTCTTTGGAAATACAAAAGACCTAAAATAATCCAAACAATTAAAAAAAAAAGGACAAAGTTGGAGAATTTATGGCACTTGGTTTTAAGGCTTATTATAAAGCTACGACAATCAAGACCAGGTGGTATCGGTAGAAGGAGGCTGCTGCTGTGTGCAGTCAGTTTAGACTCCTGCTGGCAGCGAAGAACTTCTCCTTGGGGCTTTCTGTGCTGTACTCTTTACAGGAGCAGATTGACAGGGCTTTCCCCCCCATGGAGCTGCAGGAGGATTCGAACTGTAGACTTCACTTAGCAGCTGAGCGCTTAATGGCTGTGCCACTACGGTTCCTTGCCAGTGTAAGGTAGGTATGCGTTGTTATTATTATTATTGTTTGTTACAAGCCCTCAAGTTGGAATTAACTCATAATTGAACCTTTAGCAAGTTTGCAGAGGCTGTAAATCACATGGGAGAATATTGCCTATCTTTTTCCCAAGGAGCAGCTGGTGGATTCAAACTGTGTATCTTTGTGTTAGCAGCACAGCTCCTTACCACTAGGCCATCACACATCCCTAGGCATATGGATTGATGGAATAAAAGAGAGAGTTCTGAAATAGACCTACTCGTAGAGGGTTAATTCATTTGCAACAAAGATATCAATTAAGAAAAGATCATCTTTTCAACAAATGGTGTTGGAACAAGTGGATATCCCTAAAGAATAAAATAATAATTTTTAAAACTTACCTCATATCACACACTTACATCAACTCAAGACAAACTATAGAGCTAAATGTTAAACATAAAACTCTAAAACGGCTAGAAAAAAAAACAATGGGAAAGACCTTTGCAAACTTTAAGCAGCCAGAGATTTCTTGGAAAGGATACACACACACAAAGCAGGAACCGCACAAAGAAAACTAATAAATTGAACCTCATCAAAATTAAAAACTTCTGCTTATCCTTATACATCTATAGAAAATGAAAAGGCGAGTCACTAGCAAAGATAATATATTGGTAATACTTTCTAACAAATATTTGTAGCCCAAATGTGTAAAGAACTCTTTACAGCTCAAAAGAGGATCCAGTGAAAAGGGAATGCAAGCCGCCAACATAAGAAAATGTTCAATATCATTAATCAACTGGAAAAACGCAAATTAAAACCACAATGAGATACCAATATACATTTGCAAACATTAAGAAGGTTGACAACAGTCGGTATGAGTGTGAAACAACTGGAATGCTCCTATGTTACTGTGAAATACTGGTACAATCACTGTAGAAAATTGTTTGGTGTTTTCTCATAAAGTTAAACATATACCTACTAGAAAAATCCATCAATATGATTTCTAAGTAGTTATCTAAAAAAAGAAAAAGCATGTGCCCACAAAAGACGTGTATATGAATGATCACAGCATATCATTTAGAATATCCCTCTACTGGAAAGAATCCAAATACTATCAACTGGTGGAGTAGACTAAAAAAATATGGTATGTCCATTCAATGGAATACTACTCAAGCAATAGAAAGCAATTCTGTATGATTCCACGTACATGAACGTCTAGATGGTACACTAATCTATGTTGATGGAACAACTCGGGGCACAACTGACCTCTAGTCATTGCAAACAGAGAAATGGTAGCTTGAAGCTGGTGGGGAAAGGCTGACCACAAGGAAGCATAAGAGATCCATGCGGAGTGATGGAAATATTCCTTATTTCCCTGTGCCAGTAGGTCACAGGTGTGCACATTTATTGAATCTCATCTGTGCTTTAAAAGGCGTGCATCTCATTGTGTGTAACATTCATTTGAAAAAACTCACTTTTTCCCCTCCTCCTCAATGGAACCACCCCAATGACATCTCCACAACCCGGGAAGAAGGTTAACATTCTTCCACCACTGACAGCAATCCTCTACTGAGTACTTAGTGTGACCGTAGCAGTTGCTTTCATTCATAGTCTCAGCTGAACCTCACATTATTAGCCTCTGCTATTTTTATAATTAAAGCCTCTGTTTAGAGTCAACAAACCCTCTTGGAGGGCCCTTATATTTAATAAGTAGGGTCTGAAGGATTATATTTGAATCCTTTACTACTATATTTTAGAGGAACATTCTTTTAGGCGGTACAGCACTCTTCTGTCAATTTGCTGTGCTGAGGTAATCTGGGTTTGCCGTGATGCTGAACCTTGCATCACTGGGGTTTCAAAAGCCATAATGGTTGCCCATGGTGGACAGTGTTTGGTGGAGCTTGCACTTTTGGGACAGGTTGGGAAGGAGGAGCAGCATTCACTTCCTAAACCACATGCCTCTGGAAACGCTATGAACTTGGAGAAACAATAGTTATAGAAAGGCCTCACGTCTTCTGTTCATGGAGTTGCTATAATCATGCACGATTTGATGACAATCAACAACGACAACAAACATTGATACTATAATCACCCAAAGAGCAGCAAGAGTAAGTCATTTGTCTAAGGTCACACAGCTAGCAAGAAACAGAGCCAGGATTCAAACTCCTATCTGTTGTTGTTGTTTTGTGCCGTCGAGTTGCTTGCAACTCATAGCGACCCTATTACAACATCCCTAAACTTTGCTCTGTCCTGTGCCAATCTCACTGTCTCTGACACACCCACTCCAATTACCCCAGTCACTGACTCAATCCACCTCATCGAGGGTCTTCTCCCCCTGCGCTGTCCCTCCACCCTCCCAAGCATAATGTCCCTCTCCAAGGACCAATCCCCTCCTTACAACATGTCTAAAATATGTCAGTTGAAGCCTCAGAATCCTTGCCTCCAAGGAGCATCCTGGTCCAACCCTCTCTAGGGTGAACCTGTTTGTTTTCCCAGCAGTCTGTGGTACACTCAATACTCTTCTCCAGCACTACAGCTCAAAGGCATCAATTCTCCTTCTATCCTCCCTAGTCATTGTCCAACTCTCTGATGCATAACAAGTAATTACAAAGACCATGGCCTGTATCAAAAGCACAGAGTGACACCACTGCTCTTCAGTACTTTGGAGAGGTCCCTAACAGCAGACTTTCCCATCACAATACGTCTTTTAATTGCCTGGTCCTATCTAGCTGATTAAAAAGTCCGTGCTTGCCTAAATTCCCCTGTACTGTCCCCCAATTCCCCTGTTCTGTCCCCAAAGAACTGTTTCAGGGAGGAAAGAAATCCAACCAGTGCAGAGATCAGACATTTTAAAAGCAGTGTACAGTCAGCTATGATTTTGAGTTTCATCCACGATGACTATTTCCATTTACAAAGCCATTGGAATGGCATACAGACCACGTTGGGAAAAGGCTGAGCAAGAAGCTGAGTTGTATGCTTCAAAGAATGAATTAGCTCTATCATCAACAGAACTAGGCTCTACTGCAGTCCAAAAACCTCATCCAGGGCTGGAACACGAAGGTGGTGATTTCCTTTGTTATACAGTTGATCAGTGGCATTAGTTGAGGATTTACTATGTGCCAGAGACTGTTTTACATATACCAACTTAATCCTCATAATAATCCAGCATAATAGGTATGATTGCCCTCATTTTACAGCTGAGAAAACTGAGCTACAGAGAGATTAAATGTCTTGGCCAAAGACACATAATTAACAAATAGCAAGCTCGGGGTATGAACCCACAGCCTGCACCTTCACCATTATAGATGCTTCCCAAGCAAGGGGCAGCTCCCGCAAGCCTGAGAGCACAGGAGACAAACACATAGACAAACAGCACTGCTGTTGGAGTGGATGAGTAGAGGCACATTTAACTCAATTTCAGGCCTAATGGAAAGAAGCTGCATTACAATCCCTAAGGCACCTGGTTCGAGGCCACCAGCTGTTCTATGGGTGAAGAATAGGTAATCTCCTCCCTGGTGATTAACTGCCTCTGAAAACTCACTGGAGATTCAGCTATGGGTCGGTCCTGACTCGATGGTACTCAACAACAATAACAACAATTTTATGTACAAAAGGGGAAACTGAGACCCAGGTCACCATCAAGCTGATCTCAAAGCTGATATGTAAGCTGACAACTCTGTCTCCTTGCATATATTTCAGGGAGCCCATTGCCCACAGCCAAGACACAGGATCACAACTTGGAAATTAGTCCATAGCCCTGACTGCAGCCCGACCAAGACTTCTCAAGCCCTGGTGGCCCCTCCATCGTGGCCCCCTATTTGCTTGCTGCTGTTGCACTCAGATTCCAACCCTCACCTTGATCTGGACGGAGGATCACAAAAAGTGTCACGATTTAGAGTAACAGATCGGACATATCTGGAGGCGCTTTGGGAGGAAAGCACAAAGGGCCCCTGGCCCCCGCCTCCACCTCCACCCTCCAGGTTACCACGACTCAGGATCAGAGACAGAGGGATTTTGAAACAATTATCCTGTAACTTTAGCTCCAAATATTTCCTTCACATATCTGTTCCATCCTCTGATCCCAGGTGTCACCCCAATTCCCATCTCTTTTTCCAACCACGTACCCACCCACCTCGGGCCCTGTGGCTTTCTTCTTCCTTCTGCTGAGAATTCACCTGACGCCAGTTGGGAGGTCTTGAGCAGGTTTCCCCAGCGGCAGTGTCCAACACCACTTCATGGCCCCCTGGGTTCCCTCCATACCACCTAGCTGTGTTCCTGCTCCCCAAAACCCTCACTCCACCACCCAGCTAGCTCTTCAAGTCTCGGTTTCTGCAGGGCAAAAGCAGAGGAATGGACGGGGCTAAAGGAGATGGCTGGAGGGAACCCTGGATGAGGATTGGGAGAGGACATCAGTGCCCTGGACCGGCAGGACAGGGCGCGCCGGACAGACGTGACCAGGGCAGGACGCACGCAGAGTCCCGGCGGAGGCTGGGCTGGGGTCTGAGAGCCTGTGGGGGTCGCGGACAGCGGCGGGGTGAGAGGAGAGGCGAAGGAGACTGGAGATTGAGACTCGAGAAGGTGAGATCAGAGTCTAAATCCGGATGACAGAGACGGAGCTCCCGGCGCGAAATATGACCCCAAGGAGGGGCTGGGTCCAGCCTGGCCAGGGCTGGGGTCTGAGTTCAAGATCTCCCTGCACCCCGGACAAACAGGCGGGCAAAGTTGGGCCACTGCAGCCTGCGGAGGGGAGATGGGCGGGCAGGGGACGGGCGCGCACTGACCCGAAGTAGGCGGCGGCGGCGGCGGGCAGCGCCAGCAGGCAGAGCGCGGCCAGGGCCGGAGCGGGCAGGGGGCGCA